AATATCACCTTCAACTTTCTATTTCTATTTCCTAATTCACTCATTTGGCTACATATATTTTCCCATAATTACTCAGATAACTTTATCCAATAGATTATAACATGCTTTCCTGTGAGGTAATCCAAATTATTCACCAGTTTTGTGGAAGATGTGTGGCTATTTTGTATACTTAAGACACTGCCCAGCAGGACTGAACTTTCTTAGAAGAAAGTTGGGAAGAATTATTGTTTTTAAGTATAGGCCCATATTAACTAGCTAAACAGAAAACACAAAACTCTGAATTTGTTGCATCATTATGAGAATGTTCCGTTTGTAACATTCTAGTTACTGTACATATTTGTGATAGTATGCTGCAGGGACCAGTCAACTCTGTTCAAATATGTGTGATTGTACACATCAAAATGTTAATATTTAAAATATGAAATACATATGAAACCAAAATAAATGAAATTGCCAATTACAAATTCTTCCTTAATATATGTTATCTTAACAACCATATATAATTTGATTAGCTGGATTACTTTCTGTCACATAGCCAATTGCTGTCTCAAATTAATACAAATAACAGTTTGCTATAAATAATACTGTATTTATGATTATTTCAAGTTTTTTAATTTATTTAAAGAAAGGTTCCATAAAAATACTCACACAAGATGCATAATTGTAACCTACAGCATGTTGAGTTTGTGGCATTCTCTTTTTTATATTGTCATACAGTATGTGTATGCTTGTGCCAGCAGCCATATCACCCTGCAACTCACAACTGGCAACCCACTGAAGTTAAGCAGGTGTGAGCCTGGTCAGTACCTGGATGGGAGACCTCCTGGGAAAAACTAAGGTTGCTGCTGGAAGAGGTGTTAGTGGGGCCAGCAGGGGGCGTTCACCCTGTGGTCCATGTGGGTCCTAATACCCCAGTATAGTGATGGGGACACTATACTGTAAACAGGTGCCGTCCTTTGGATGAGACGTAAAACCGAGGTCCCGACTCTCTGTGGTCATTAAAAATCCCAGGGCATTTCTCAAAAAGAGTAGGGATGTAACCCTGGCATCCTGGCCAAATTTCCCATTGGCCCTTACCAATCATGGCCTCCTAATAATCCCCCTCTATGAATTGGCTACATTACTCTGCTCTCCTCCCCACTGATAGCTGATGTGGGGTGAGCATTCTGGCGCACTATGGCTGCTGTTGCATCATCCAGGTGGATGCTGCACATTGGTGGTGGTGGAGGGGAGTCCCCATTACCTGTAAAGTGCTTTGAGTGGAGTGTCCAGAAAAGCGCTATATAAGTGTAAGCAATTATTATTATTATTATGCCGTGTTTCTCTTGCAAAGTTTTTGATTTTTGAAATATCATGTCTCAAAAATAAATACACATATTCATGATAAAGTGATGGTTATGTTACACTCAACAAAATGCAATACGTTTGACATTTCAGGATGGTTTAATTAAAATGTTATTGAGGTTTCAGATCCCATGTTTTTGTGGCATATTCAAGTTACAGTCAATAGAGTGAATTATATATATATAGGATTTCATTGTATTTGGTTAACAGTATGTTTTTTTTTCTGAGATGCCTTACTTGCAAATGTTGCTTGCATGTTTTATGTTGTGTTTTGTATGACTTGGTTTGAACAAATAACTCGGGTACCTCTAACAATACCAACCACTCATGTATATTCTTTGTATATATTTTACAGTTTGGGGGTTATGATTATTTAATTATTGATTAATTCTGCTTAGTATTTTGCATTTTTGTACAGGTAACTCCCTATTTGTAGCAAAGTGATTGACCAACATTGGGCACACACCCTTGACCCAAAAAGTACCCAAAATACTTTGTTTCAGTCCTCTCAACTTGTCTGGAATTGCTATTATACCTGCAGCACTTAGCTCCTGCAGCACCTTCACAAAACTACATAATCTAAATCAGGGGTTCCCAATCTTGGACCTAGATGACCCCACATCCTCTGGTTATAGACCAAGAGGTTCAGGGTAAGAACTGATCAGGAAAATTCTTTCCACTATATTTTCAGTGAACAGGTCACCAGGATAAAACCAGTGGTGGCCAGCATCCAACAGGTTTTGGGTGAAAGCATGAGCTCTGGGGCTGTTTTAGATGTTTAGATCCATGAACTTCCAGTATTTTCCATCACAGTCCATCCTGACAGAACCTTTTCTTTGAGAATTATAAAGTTGCCTTCATATTGATCTCTGGCTACTGATTGTGCCAGTATCCCTGCCTACTGCTTATACCTTTTCTGCTAACAGCTGAGTTGTGTGATGCGCTGAGGTGTTTTCAGAACATCTTGCTGTTATGGCTGTTGAAAATAGAAATGTAAGCTTCAGGATCATTTCCTGAGTCCATATTGTGGATCTTCACTCTCATCCAACCTGGGTTCATGCTCCATTCTTAAGCAGTGAGTGATGTTCTTTGGAATACCAGAGCCCTTAGACTATCCATTTATCTCTGATGATGCTCGATGACGGCATGAAAGCCCAAAACTGCTGTTGCAAGATAGTTCAATTATGATCTCTCCTTCTAGCATGTTCTCAAGGTTCACTGCTTCCAATACATATACATGTTATATTCCAATACAACAGCCAAAAGCCATGGAGAAGGCCCCAGTTTTACAGGCTAGTCAAGAAATAGAGCTGTGCACTGTCATGGAGTAGTATTCTTCTTCATTCTTTCAAAAACCATTTTAAAGTGTTCACTCAGTGAAAAAATCTTCAGTCACTTTAAATAGAGTGGAAAGCAACTTTCAAGTATCATGATCATAAAGACTAACAGCTGCCTCCTCTCAGATGGTAATGCTGGCTTTCTGTTATTGTATTCAAGTGTGTTTGGGTAAAACTAATACTGATAGTGATTTCAAATACAGATGTGGCATTTTTCTGCTTAGTCATTGAAACTGTAATCTGACCAGAGGAATGGCAAGTTTTCCCTTTGAAAAATGTGAAACACGTAATGTATTTAATGACTATTTTTAGAAAACATAAGAAGCAGTAATTAAAAATCAAGGAGTAATATTTACATGCAGAATCCAAAATATGCCATTTTTAATATGAACTGTAACCAATTTAAATGATTAAAAATTAGTTCAAGATCCTTGAATCAAATTAACAGACAAATTAATAGTCAATAGACAACTGGATGTGTATTTGACTACATATCAATTTTAATGTGTCAGAGTCTGTCATTTGTTAGTTGTGGAATCAACATCAATAGAAATGTCACTTATTTGGCTTGTAGAGGCTATTGTTCACCACAGCTTTGACAGATTTCACTGGCATCTTAAACATATCTGCAGAGGTACAAATACCAATTCAGACACTGAGATAGCTTTAACACTACTCACATTATGACTAGGCAACCTTATATTTTTGCGGCATAAAAACAGACATTACCTGGCAAGAGTAGACTGGGGTAAACAGTTTTATTTTGAACAGTGAAACACTGGTCATATCATGATCTCTGACCAATTTCAGATCACAAAACTTTCCATGATAGTCAGTAGATGCATTTTTAAAAGAGGGAGACAGATTCCCATTCCCATTTGGATAATACGGATTTATAGGAAAGTAGATTTAGCTCTGCGCTGTATTCTGTTTTATTAAGGTTGCAGGTTTCTCTTTCGTGTTGGCCTGTTAAGTCTTATATGTATAGGATTTCTTACTATTTCGTTAGCAGTGGGGTTCTTGTGGTTGGTCAGGAAGTATGCATTTTCAGTCAATAGATCAATTCATCATCTCAATTAAAACAGATCAATTCATCAACTTTTTCATACTGAGGGTGGATGTAGCAGCAACATGAGGACAGAGTAAGATTCATATACAGTATTTCATGGTGATTTGGTCCAGGACAAAAAATTCTCAAACAAGCAAAGGCTTGAAACTCTTTTTGAGGCTCTTTAACATCAGATTCTCCACAGAAAACAGTTAACTCTGCCATGCTGTCTGTTCTTTTCTTTTAGTTTTCACAGCTCAACCCTGCATCATATGCGTCTCTCATTCATTCCACACTGTCAGAATGTTCTCCTCAGTTGCTGTGAAACTTTGCTGCACACCAACCTGCTCTTGTCACGATATTAGTTCCCCCTCCTTAAGGGTGCTGCAGCCCTTTCACTAAAGACTTTATTCTATGCACCTGCTCCCTATTCCCAGCCCACCTTAAAAGCCAGGCGCTGACGCTCTTCCGGGCTCTGCATCTGATTTCCATATCGTGCGAGTCCGGGACCTGGAAGCGCCTGGTCCCGTTAAGGTTTTAACCTCTGTTCCCGTTCCTGTTCCCTGTCCGCCGGTTCCGACCCGGCCTTCGTGGTTTTAATTCCGTGTTCTGATGGATCTCCTGGTTTTGGACTTACCCTTGTGTTTTGGATACTCTAAGGATTACTCTTTTGGATTGTTCGCCTCGGCCACACCTCCCCTGTGCACCAGCGCACCTTGGACACGCCCCCTTGTCTTCAGCCCCGTTTTCCTGCATGACGTTTCCCTAGTGTTTCCCCACTCGTCGGACTGTGTCGTCCGCATAGGGTCCGGAAAGAACTGTTCGTTACAGCTCTTAACTGAGTCTGTGTATAAATATGCATTGCAGTGGATGTGGCATTTTAATTTATTGTAACAAAAACCAAACAATATATCTGTGAAATAATCTGCTATGATACGAAAGCTGATATAATAATGTCAAAGATAAAATACATCTATTAAAACATGTTACGTTCTACCTTGCAGGTTTGATCAGTCTCATGTAATCATACCACACTTATCCTCAGATACAGTATAAGTAAATGTGCATTTATTATCATGAACTAAACATCAATTGTGTTTAGAAAAATAGGTCAAATAGGTCAAAAATAGGTCAAATAGGCTTGAAAATTCTAATGTGAATAAATAAATTTTATAGCTCCTTGTTGGTCTGTTCGTCTGTCTTTTGCTTTACTCCTGTAACCTTAACTTTTTATTAGCACAATAATTAAAAAAAATAATGCTCATGCTTACCTTGGCATGGATTGTTATCATTGATCACTTTAGCCCCATCTTGGGCCTTATACCCATTCCAGCAGGAACAATTATAACTCCCATTGCTGTTGGTGCAGTTTGAGTTTGGACCACAAACCAAAGGTACTTGTGTACATTCATCTGTATCTGTTGAGAATACCATCCAGTATACTTAGATACATTATATTTAGCCATACTGTACCATGGAATAGATGTACTTGGTATTTAACACTGTTCTATAGTTTCAGTGTTTTTCTTCATTTATGCAGATAAAGAATTCAAAGTACCAGTTAATTCTCATAGTTCTAAATTTTGTAAAACAAAAGGAAACCTATTAGTTTTATGGATGTGTAGAGAGAAGTAATTATTGGATAAATAGAATCATTGATCAATGTTTTCATACTGAGGGTGGTGGTAGCACCAGCATGAGATTCATATATTGGATGATGACACAACCCTCAAACCTGTGTACACACTGTAATTCAACCAGTAAGTATCAAGATTTGAAAAATTACCAAATTTTCATAATAAAAGTATACAGTACATCATCTTGTACAAAATTAAGACCTCTTAAATCTTGGATCCAATGTATCCATGTGTACAGTAAAATACAAAATGTACCTATTATCATTTAACTGGAACTGCTTGTTTTATAGAATGACAATGATTCTATTATAAACTACTACAAATGCTGTGGTGATTGTTGTTCCTTTAATCACATGAAATCAACACACACCTCCCTATTCCATATTCAGTGTATTCATTTACTTTGGGCTCCAAAAATAATCTCTACATTTTTAATTCTTATCTGTGCCTACTACAAGGAAAATACATTTACTGAATATTTTCAGGAAAATGTAAATATAATACCATTTGGACACAGGTGAAACAGCAAGCATACTAATCAGGGAATACAGCATCAGATCCACACCTTTCTAGGACTTGGCATTCTTTGTGGTGTGCAAAAGACAAAAATATAAAACGTGTGCTGCAAATAAAAAAAATGTGTCTCAAACTGAAAAAGGGTAGGGCAAACTAAAAAAAAAACATGGCTATACAAAAACAAAAAAGGTTTTACAAAAAAGAATAGATGTCCAAATGAAAAATGTGGACATACAAATCATAAAATGCTTTTTATGCTTTGACGTCCTGTTTTAGCTAGGTCAGACATATGAGGTGAGCTTGTTTGTTCTGTAGTAAAAAAAAATAAAAGTAGTAGCATACACTTTTTGATAATAATTATTCAATTAATATAACAACTTTGAAAACAAAATGATACGATGTAGATTGGTTCCCTCCTTTTGACAGTTTTGCAAGCTATTTGATTCATAGTGCATTTTAGATTGTTAAGAGCAGTTGGCAGTGTTAGTAGCACATAGATAATATGATGCATAGGAACAAGTAATAGGTTTATTCCATGCTGAAAAAAAGAAGAAAGATAACACAACGTTTTGGCAGTGGAGCCTTCTTCAGGTGTGCTCACACCTGAAGAAGGCTCCACGGCCGAAACGTTGTGTTCTCTTTCTTCTTTTTTTCAGCATGGAATAAACCTATTACTTGTTCCTTTGCAGCCTACGCATGCTGACGCAGCTACCCACCTGAACTAGATAATATGATTGTTGATTGTATCTAGGAAAGATTGCTGCAGATTAATTCCCTGGTAGTGGTATTTCACAGCAACAGTATAGATTTTAGCAATCGGCTTATTAAACACTGCAGCTGTCCATTTACATAGGTATTGCTTACTTTTTTTGTCTATAAAATATTAAGTCAAAGGAGGTTTAACTAATTCAGAAATTGATCAAGCTATCCAGATAGACCCACTAACTAGGTTCAGGTTAACTCCATTTCCCAAAGGCAAAATGTTTAAGTTATCTGTTTAAAGCAATAGCTTTAAGTAATCTAACTCCACATTCATGCCGCACTTCAGTAGACAGCAAGATTCCTTGGTCGAAGCCACCAAAACCATGCCAAAAAAATGTATGTCTTAATCCTGTGACCCTCAAATACTATATCTTGTAATTAATTATATAGTAATTTCTATATATCGTAATTACCAAAGGAACTGGTGGTAGATTTCAGGACGAAAAAGGTCAAACCTACTCCAGTCTACATCCACGGGAGTGGCGTGGAGATGGTGGACTCGTACAAGTACCTGGGAGTCCACATCGACGGTAGACTGGAATGGTCTAAGAACATTGAGGCCATTTACAAGAAGGCTCAGAGCCGACTTTACTTCTTCAGGAGGCTCAGGTCCTTCAATGTATGTAGTAAGATGCTACATATGTTCTATCAGTCGGTGTTAGCGAGCCCCTTTTTCTACGCAGTGGTATGCTTGGGCCCTGGGATTAGACCAGTGGATTCAAAAAGGCTGAACAAGATCATCAGGAGAGCAAGCTCTGTCATTGGGTCTGACCTGGACCCCTTGGAGGTAGTGGCTGAGAGGAGAATGGTGTCCAAACTAGAGGCCATCATGGACAACATCTCACATCCCCTCTATGACAGGCTTGTAGAAATAAGGAGCACATTCAGCAATAGACTGATTCATCCACGGTGCGACAGGGAACGCTACAGGAGGTCAGTCTTGCCTTCTGCCATAAGACTGTACAACGCATCCACCTTGCGTCTGGGCAGAGGCAACATTGACAGTGACCTGTTTCTGGACTAAACACATCTACACATCTACTGCTACATCTGCTCTCTTTCTTTTCACGTTCACAACCGTTTTTTGTGCAATATATGCCAGGGACCCGTGCAATACATTTATATTTATATCTATTTATATCTATATTACATCTATATTTATATTCATATGTGTTATACGATGTTTCTGCGTACTGTTCTGTTCTAGTTTGTTCTTTGTGTGTCTGGACTGTGAGTAACTCTTTTAGTGCACCCCTCACTGTACTGATTGTATTGTATGGATTGTACTATTATTATTATTGTATCATTTGTCACACTGTGGCTGTGTTGTCTGTGTAAAGCTGCTGTTGCACTGCAATTTCCCTCACTGGATCAATAAATTATCTATCTATCTACAAGATAGCCAGTTATCTTGTAATTACAAGATAGCTGATTATACAAGATAAGAAACAGGTAAAGGTTTATTCATCCTGTTTTTATTCCTTAGCCCTGCACTGGGTCCCATTCTGGTTTTTAATTGTGTCTTGTTTTCGTCTCATCTGGATTTCCCAGTTTTGGACTCTCGGATTTCCCCCCTGGACTACCTTGGACTTGTTTGCCTTGGTCACGCTCCCCTGCTCACCGTCGTCATGCCCCCCTGTTTGTCAACCCGCCCTGATCCTCTTTCCCTCCCCGTTGTCCTTTTCCACTCCCTTCTAGATTCTGCCGTCTGCATAGGTTCCTGATCTATGCTTCATAACAGTAAGTCCGTACACATTTTTCTGTTTTGCAAATTGTCAGGAACATTAAATCCACAATTCAAGTAAAGCTATCGGCAGCTTGTAGGTAGCATTTGTTACATTTACTGTACCTTGACAGGGATGTGATTTATTGACTTGTGAGACTCCAGGAGGGGAACTGTATCCACTGTGACAGGAACAGATATAACTCCCAGCAGTATTGGTACAGTTGGCATGTGAACCACAAACTGAGGGGTCATCTTCACACTCATCAGTGTCTGCATTAAATTAGTTTCATTGTTACTATGTAGGTCTTACATTACATTGAAGTATTACTGTTCATAATATTTTTTTAAATTATTATATTTACCTCCATTTTGTATCACACAGGTTTACTTTGGTGTATTTGTTAAGTTAAAACCCGAGACATATTGATTCCTCTAAATTCTTCCTCTTCTAATTCCAGAATGTTTTTGCATCTTCGATGAAACATTGTGCATCATAAATTCATATTTAACACTAATATATAATGCTAAGCAGCTTTCACCAGGTAAAAAAACACCATTACCATGTGCCCTGTGTTTAGTCCACTTAGTGTCTGTCATTAATGTGAAGTACAGTAACTATACAATTATAATTTATGTGAATTCATTATAAAATTACTTTTAATTCTGTGGTTCATTTTTATTTACACAGTACATCAACATGGAAAATGAATTCTGGTAAACTAATGGATTAGAGGAAAATAATCGGTGTGATTATATTTTATAGATTACATTATATTCTCAGAAATGACTGCATCCAGTTTTATTTTTACATACTAAACACCTTAAGATCATAGAACAGTTGATGTTGAGAGATATGTCTTTTTTCTTTTCAATATTTACCTTGACATTGGTTTATACTGCTTATCGAAGTTCCAAGTTTGGATCTAAATCCAGTTTTGCAAGAGCATTTGTAACTCCCAGGAGTGTTGTTACACAATGAGTTTGGACCACAGATGGGGGGAGACTGTAGGCATTCATCAATGTCTGTGTTGAGTCAAGAACAAGAACACAATGAAAATAATCATTAGTGACTCAAACTAAAATAATAAATACATATTTTGTAGCGCTCTAATTTGAATCAAACAAATTTATAATCACTTCTAGTTTTGATGTGCATTGTACTGTGTACATTTGTCTTATATAATGTACTGTAAAAGGAGTTGTCTGCCTACAGTGGTGTAATTGATAGTTGCCAGAATGGATTTATCAGCATTCAATACACCTGCCTGCTGAAGTGAAAGCCAAATTCCAAATTTTTCATCGTGTCAATGACAGTCAGTCAGCTAAATTCTGTAAAATTAGTTTTTACCTGCGCATGGAGTTGTATTATTTATCAGTGTAACACCAGCAGCAGGGCCGTATCCAAGAACGCAGGAACAGTTGTAACTCCCAGCAGTGTTGGTACATTCTGCATTTGGACCACAGATAGATGGGTCCTCTGTGCACTCATTGATCTCTGCAGAAAATCAGTTTAAGTCATATTTACCTCTGATCCAAAAGGGTTTTGATTTTCATTTTAATTTCTGAGTTTGTGTTGTTGCTTCATAATCTTGTTCATCAGCGAGTAGTGTACAGTAAGTACAGTTGATAACTAATTTACAAAGCAATAAATATACTGTAGTTCTGCCTATCAGCCATAGCATTTCTTTTTGGATTTATGTTTGTTAGTTCTTATGCTTCTTGGGGATTGATATGTATATTAACAACTACTTGTCATGTTTATTGGAAGATTGAGTTGCTAAAGGTATTATCTTATTGTCATAGTAAAATAGATCATTATTTTACTGTACAAAACATTCAAAAAGGTTAATTCAGACCATATTTTAAAAAAAATGTCATTGATGTTTCATCTTAAATTTGACAAATTTGAAATGTTTCTTCTGAAGTTGCTTTGATTTTTTTTTGCATTTCCAAGTATTTAGAAAAGACAATTGAAATTGCTACATTTTTACCTCGACAAGGGTATATATTACTTGTCATTGTGACTCCATCTGGAGGTCGGTATCCTGTATTACAGGAGCAGTTGTACTTCCCAGGTGTGTTAATGCACTCTGCATATGGACCGCAGATTGAAGGATTTTTATCACACTCATCGATGTCTGGAAAATGTTAGGGATGTATTAATCTGGTTGTTATTTCCCACACAGTAATAGTACTGAACTGAATAATTTCAATTTGGGTAGCCTAGATAATACCATAAATCCAATACTAGAAAAAAAACATAGTGAAGAAACAAGACTTTGATCAAGCCTAACTTTAGTGTTCAAGGAAAATAATTCTAATTGAAAAGTAAATCAAAGATCTGGTAAGGTCCTCTGAGTCAGCTCCTTAGGAATGTTTCTAAGATAAAACAGGGATATCCTGGCATTCCAATTGAAATGGTCTTCAAACCAGTTTAGTGAAATATGAGTCCTTCCTGACACCCCAGAACTGAATATAAACAAAAATTCAATCCATCAAATAACTATAATAAGTTAAAACCTAACAAAATATAAAATGCAATGCTTATAATGGAAACGTTATTTACTAAGTGTAAGCAAACCAAATCACGCTTTTTTGAAGTACTGTAAAACAATCTTACCCTGACATGGATGTGAGTTGTTTGTCACTTTGACTCCAGTGGGGATAATGAACCCAGTATCACAGGCACAACTGTAACTCCCAACGCTGTTGGTACATTGAGCATTTGGACCACAGATTGGGGGCGATCGTGCACATTCATCAATATCTGTTGAGAACGGCACTCTTAATTACAGAAAAACCATGTGTCCCTTCATGCTGTTAAATCATGGTCAGTAACAAACTGCCAGAAAATTCAAAGTCCTGTTATTTGTATTATATTTTAGTGCTATTTTACAAACCACAGCATTGTTTTCAAATATCTTCAGAATAAAAATGGGTTCTATAATTTGATCAAAAGTCAGAAACTGTTGTTATAGAAATTCAAAGGGAACATCTGATCACTTTAAAAGGGTCTAATTTAAATTTAGTAGTCATCATAAAAAATTACTGCATATAAAAAAGTGTGGAAGCTAACAGTTTTTAAGGACTTAATCCTGATGCTTGTCAATGTTATAAAATATAAATTTATTTGCAAAAGAAATAATGTTAATGATGTCTACCAGGCAGCAGCATGGTGGTGCAGGGGCCCTGGGTTATATTCCAGACTTCGGGTTCTATCTGTGTGGCGTTTGTATGTTTTCCCCATGTTCACATGGGTTTCTTCCAGGTGCTTCAGTTTCTTCCCACAGTCCATAGACATAGTTGTAGGTCAACTGGCTTCTGGGAAAATTAGCCCTGGGGTGAGTGTGTATGTTGGTGTCTGTGTGTGACCTGCAATGGACGGATCTTGCCAGATCACCCATGACCATGAATTGGATGAATTGGATGAAGCGGTTAGATTTCTGATTAATGTGTACGAGTAATTAGTTGAAATTAACATTTCACATGACATAGACTATGATAAGATGATCTTACCTTTACATGGCCATGATTGATTTGTCAGTGTGACTCCAGGAGGAGGAGTATACCCACTGTAACAAGAGCAGGTGTAACTCCCAGCATTGTTCGTACATTCAGCATTTGAACCACAGATTAAGGAGTTCTCTTTGCATTCATCGATATCTGAAGAAAAATATACAGTATTCAAATACTGACATCACAGAGTAATACAATCATTTCTAATGTTTACTTACTGTACTGTGGACTAAGGTATTACATATATCAATTAATGTACTACATAGTACATTCAGTACCATATGTACAGTATCAATCTGTTCATTGCACCAATCTAATAACCAGAGTACCATTGCAATAGACAATTGAAATGTTTGAATAAAACATAAGCCATTATAACATTACTTATGTTTTAGCACTCCAAGGATTTAAATTTTAATGGTTCTGTATCTGTTAATGCATTAAAACAAAAGCCTCTTCAATTTGATTCTTTTTACTTTAGTTATATTTTATTATATTGTAAGATGACCAGGGGAAGAGTGATCCAGGACAGAACGATCTCCTCAATATTTTTTGTTGTTTTTTATTAATATACAAAAAGAACAAGTCACAACAAAATCAATCACATTACATCCATCCGTCCATCCTTATCATAAATCAAAAAAGGTTTTCCACCGTTCCTTAGCAGCATGGTAGCCCCATTTGTTATACTCATATCTCTGCTGCCTGCGTAATTCGTACCTTACATGCCCACTGATCCCTTGCACTCCCCCCTCACATCCATACTTCACCAAGTGGTTCCTACTGTCCCATAAAATCAGTTTGATTAAACACACAATGAACCACAACAGAAAATTGATCCTTTCATTGCCCTAAATCATTTTCCAGCCCCATAAAACCACAGCCTCTGTTAGCTGGAAACGCGGCCATAACCCAGAAAATAAGACTCTATGTTTCTCCCAGACTAACTGTGCCATCCTACAGCCCCAGAACACATGCGCAATCGACTCTACCGCACCACATTCAGCCCTCGGGCACACAGACGACTTTGTCAGCTTATGTTTATGCATAACTTCCTGCACCGAGAGCCTCCCCCACCCACACAACCAATTCAGGTCTTTCATCCTATTAGGTAATCCTTTATAGTGCAGGAACCTCCAGCAATATTCCGGGACCATTAATCCTGGGTATTCTTTTTGCACGCACACCTCCCTCGCTCTTTCATACAAGGCTCTATGCCACACACAAACACCAAATCCAGCTTCCCATTCGAATACTTTGTCAACCAGATTGTTGCTTGTTTATAAAACCACAGTGTCCTTACCACTTTGGGCGTGGTATTTGTCCAATTACACAGGCCGCACTGACCAGGAGAACTAAAGCCTTGCAAAATACTGGTACTCATGTTGTACCTCCTTATGCACAGCTTCACACACACCCGCAACAAATATAGCATTTTAATTTAAAGGTAGATCCGGTACATCCCTCCTACCTTGATGACATCCTTTGTACATATCCACCCTTCTCACATACTCGTACACCACATAAATTGAAACACCAACCTTGTTTAGCTGTATTCTCCAGTTGTGTAGCCCTAGCACCCCAGATCCAAATTCTACTCCTAGTATCTTTATTGGCCCAAGTTCTGCCCTCAGGGGCAGTTACAAAGTTACATCATCCACATATGCAGCAAGCTTAACTTGCCTACCTCCACTTCCTGGCACACACAAACCATTAACCTTACTATTAGATCTAATCATGATAAGCAAAGGCTCCACATACAGAATATACAGCAAAGGTGACAAAGGGCATCCCTGTCTTACCCCTCTTCCTATCCAAACTTTTCCACCCATGTACCTATTGATACACACCCTAAAACCAACGTTGACATAAAGTAACTTTAACCAATTAACGAACCTAGGACTCAGGCCAAACCTTTGCAGTAAAGTGTGATGAACCTTATCAAAAGCCTTTTTTTGATCCAGGCTCACTACAACCAAAGACATATTTCTGTCCTCTGCCCAGGCAATTGAGTCTCTTATAAGTTTTAAGTCCAAGGATATAGATCTACCAGCCACACCACACGACTGATTATGGTGGATCAATATTGGCAAAACCTTCTGTAGTCGGCTATACAATACTTTAGCAAGGATCTTGTAATCTACACAGAGGAATTGGATTGGCCTTCAGTTACCCAAATCTAAGGAGTCGCCTTTTTTATAGAGTAGGGCAAGGACCCCCTACCTCATAGATTCACTCAAACCTCGGCCTTTTAAAATTTCCCTCAAACACCTCTACCAAAACTGGTCCGAGTAGGTCCCAAAAGGTCAAGTAAAATTCCACGGGCAGCCCATCAATGCCCGGGACCTTGCCTTTCCCCAGGCTGTGCATGGCCTTCTCCACTTCCAGCAGCTCAAATCCTGAGTCCAGTCCCTCCATCTCCTGTGCCTCCGATCTATTTACCACCAGTCCAGCTATTTCTTCTATGTTTTCACTCTCTTCTTGAAAGCATGCCCCCAAATATCTCGAGCCAGCCTCTACCATTCCTTCTGATGACCGAACCACCCTATCAGAGCTCACTCTAATACCCTCAGTTTCTCTTTACTTGTTTTGCCCTCACTGACCAAAAGAACTGGCCTGACACATCCTCTGATTGCTCCATTACACGGTCACCTAAATGAAACAAAAAGTCTCATGCCCTACTAACATGAATCTCCTTCAGCTGGACCTTCAACTCTTGGGATCTTTGAACATCAAAGACCAGACCACAATTCCCTTGCTCATAAATATTTTGTAGTTCCTCCTGTTACCGCCACACCTCCATGTTCTTTCTACGTGCTCTCAGTGTGCAATACTGTTGAGAGATCCTTTTAAGCTGTCGTTTCACACCTTCCCACCATTCAATTAAAGCTGGCCGGCTGCTTTTCTGAGCTACCCATTATAAGAGTTTGTCTCTGATCAGCTGGATGTAATTGTGTTCCTGCAGAACGACTGTTTTTAATTTCCAGAGTCCTCTTCCAAAACACGTGCAAGAGTCACCGATTTCCACCCGAATTATTACATGGTCCGAAAACCATGTCAGAGTCACTGTGACACATTGGATTGAAATGCCTGAGGATACAAACATATAATCCAATCTTTTCCCCATTCCCCTGGTATTTTGCCAGGTGACCGGAAAGTTTGAGAAGAAACCTTTAAAACTGTCTTTTAGTCACGCAACATCTGATTAATCTCGGTTGCCCCTGTTGTCCATGCCAAAATGTCTTCGTTAAAATCCCCCCCCAAAAAGACCAGCCTGTCTGTAGTGCACCAAGGCGCTAGGTGAGCAAAGAAACCCCTCTGCGCACTGGTTTCTGCTGGTGCATACACACATATCAAACGGACTTTGGTGCCCGCCCACAATCACCCTTCCTGGACTTACCATCAAAATACTCTGTTTCCTCCGCTACCGTGCTCCCGAAAACAATTCCAACCCCTGCTGAATGCACTCCCCCCAAACTCCACTGTGACTTCAAATTACCCCAATCCTTCGCGAACCTGTGAATGTCATATTCCCCAGCTAAATGAACTTCTTGTA